AAGAAAGAAAGAAAGAAAGAAAGAAAATGCGTAGGATTTTGCTCAAAAACACTAATTAGACAACAACGTTATTGGTTCAGTAAGTGTGAACAAGCTATGAAGGACGGAAAAACCGCAACTTATTATATATAGAAAATATTTGGAAACCGAATGCCTTGATTTCGTGTTCGAAGTTTTGTTAATCAAAACGTTTCTGATGTAATCTTTCTTGATTGCTAACTAACATTTAAGCCATTTGCCAATCACTTTGATGTATCCAACCGTCGACCAATCCGGATCTGATTTATCGTGGAATCAAACGTATCAAAGATATCAAATATAACGAAATTCAAAATTCAAGTTGTAAAATTTAAAACTTGGTTCGCTTTCCCAAAATACACCTACGCGAAAAATGTTAGAAAATAATATATTCTCACAGTTCTAAGACGTAATTGAGGCTCAAAGTAGTTTAGCTGTTTGTTAAGAGCTAGTTCGAGGTATGATTAGAATGTCTGATTCAAGAAACAAACCTATTAGAGAGCTGTCAGTATATTGGCCATCATGGCACTGAACAACACTTACTTCGAACTTCTTAACGCTTTTCATAAAATAGTTTTATATGAAAAGTCTCTTTATTTTCCGTTCAGCCTAATGTATCTAGAATAATAACACGCTAATCTGTTGATGGTTTTGAAGTATTGTCGAGGCTTTTACCCTGTGCTACAGGTTACATTTCGATTCCTGTGGTTGTAAAGAGCGAGCGCTAGGAAAGAAGGCAACAAGCGAGAATAAATAACGAGGCTTTCAAAAAGACGATCAAATTTAAAGAGTAAAACCGCTGGTGGAAATGACCGCATGCGCAGTTTACGATTAAGGAACGTACCCCGGTAGACACTAGAGAAAAACATTTACGCATGCGTGCATTTTAGCACGTTTTCTAAGAATTTTGAAGAGTTTGAGTGAGAAAATAAGTGTTTGTTTTCTYCAAGTATACWAAAAAGTTCGCGAGTATACTTTTGTCAGACCAAGATACTGTATTAACAAACACAATAAAAAAGAATTAGCCTTAAGTTTCAAGCATGGACACTAAGTTTTGGCATTTTGTGAAAAAGTCCAATTTATGTTTTAAAGCCAAATTTACATATGTATTGACTAATTTGCATACGGACTCAGAACATTGCGCAGACGTTTTTCACTCGTGTCACCCCGGTAGTGCTCCCGACCTCTGGTACTTGATTTGACAGTATTGATCGAGTCATGCTTATTAGACTAATATCAACAAAAATGAATAGGATAGCCAACACCTAGGATTACATTCCTAGAGGTGGTGCGATGGATACAGGATATCCAGCCCCACCCTCCCCACCCCCTCTCCCAATCGGGCCGGTCCCGCAAGAAGCTTAAGACAACAAAATTTTAAGGAAAAACTGACAACCACTTTGATTTCAAGTTTTTTCACAGACATGTTTTGAAGTTTTCATGCTGTAGTTATCAGTGTGAGGAATGTGCACAATGGCTTGTAAAGAAAAATCTATTTCAAAAATCTATCTTGAAAAAGTTCCTTATTCGTAGAATACCGCTGTGTTTCTTGGGTTACGAGCAGACTCATTTACACAGGTTTATCCTCACTTCAGCGAAATATTCGCAAATACAAAAGGAAAGAATCCATAACCCCTTACGCCAATTTTATTTATAATAACCACTGTAAGCGACCAACTTATATAACTGGATGTAACAATATATTGATCATTTTGAAATTGAGTCTACTAAATTGAGGCTACTAAATCCTGAGAAACACATAGCTCGCTGGAACTAGCTAAAGTATTACCAATAATTTAGGGCAGTTTTTTCCCCCGGTAGATAAAGGTTGTCTTTTCACTCAAAATATTATGGAAACTTCTGATACTTTTCGGTTATATATAGCTGCATGACAATGATTTTGGCTACGAGTTTATTTTTTTAAATAGTTTTTAGCTCTCGTAAAGTGCAAACACGGTTTAGAGTGATTTTATTTAACTCGTGAAACGATTGCAAAAATCACTTGTTATAACTGTAATAATTAATCATATAATTTACATACCGCTCAACTTATTAAAATATTCTAAAGCGCTTTACATTCATGGGTAGAAAATAAAGAAAACAAAATTCTATCATGAAAACCGATATAAAATGAGGAAAAGCTATTAATGCAGTAAGGAAAAAATCACTAGACATCAATTATGAAATAAAACCACTCTACTACATTAAAACAGTCGGTTATTAGCCATTTGAAGGTCGAGGGAAAAACTGGTTCGAGTTGGCATTGCAGTGCATTTTGGGGCTGCTCTAGGAGACGAAATAGACGCCATGTTGGAAATACGTCTAACTGTCTCATGTCTATATGTATATAAACCCACAATGCATTGCAGTACCAAATCGAACTAGCTTTTCCCCCTCAATCTCAGAATGGCTTACGACCAGCACTAATCATATAGGCTGCTTAATACGGCACCAATGTGCCTTATTTCATTATAACGTCACGGCTTGTTTACATCGGGTAAAATGATAGGAATTTAGGCTAAAATTAAGCTTAATTCTCTTCTTTCGAGATATTTAGCGTAATATTTAGTTGTTCTTGCCTTCACTAGCTCATAAACCAAATTTCATTGTGATTTAAGATGTGTTGTTGTCATTCCATCCTCCTCCAGCGACCATGATCCCTAGTGTTAAGACAATAGTTTGTTTTGATGTGACGTCATTATGAAATAGGGCAATACTCCATTTTACAGTTTCGTTCGAGTGACCACGAAGAATAGTTGCAAGTCGAGGCTGCAGTTTCCGCGCATAGCAAAACTATACTTTTTAACATGCACGGAAACTCCAGCCTCGGCCTGGACCGGAACTGTAAGATGGAGTATTGGACTCAGTATTTTGTACTATATATGTATACTGATATGAACCATACAAAAGATTCCAATAAACTTGCTTTAACCATTGTAATAATTTGTTGATTTTATTACATCGAGGTCGGAGAAAGATAAAGAAAAAGAAAAGGAAAAAGAAAAAGAAAATTAACGAGGCCAGAAATGAGAAAATGGCCGACCTCCTCAATGGAACAAACTGTCACGTGATCATTTCCCGCCATATTGAAGCCGGCAAACCACAGGGAGCCTAAGCTAAGTGAAAACTACGCATTACCAAAAAAGAAAAGAAAAAAGAAAAAAAAGAAAAAAATTAAAGAAGAAGAAGAAGGCTCTTTTAAACACATTTCAAAATTATAGTGAGAATGAGGCTAAAAGGACAGTACCAAAATAAAAACAGAATTTTTTTGTACGTATTTTCTAGTAGTGCAGTGCACTCGCCGGCCTTATATAACCTAAGGGATTCCGTTCCTAGACCCGGCTTCGCATAGGAGTAGAGTTTGCTAGGTCTCTCCCTTGATTCGAGGGTCTTTCTTTGTCCGCAAAAACTAACACGCTTAAATTCAAATCAGATAAAGAAATTAATTGTGCCCTGATTTAGACTAGATTAGTAGATCGTTTCTTCTTCTACTGGGCTCCCTGTACTATATAATTGAAATATATCATTTAAAAGAGTAGGTTATCAGACTCGTACCCAATTAATCGCTTCTCTTCTCTTATTGATCTTACGCTGTGGTCGATGGGAAGGCCTTTAGGGATTTTGCGGTCTGTCAAGAAAAGGAGAAAAGCCTTCGCACAGATTATAAAAGGTGAGTGACGACGGGGTACGAGTCTGGTAGACGTCACTAGCTATGGAGGTCTTCCAAACTTAGGAAGAAAATATCATTTTTAAAAGATCAAATTCGAATATTTAAGTTTGTTATCGGCGAAAAATGTAAAAACGCATAATTATTACAGAAGAACATTGAAACTGATTTCCTGATTTGAAGTCATGTCTTCTCGCATACACGTGACTAAGTTGCATTATGATGCAAAAACCATTATTATTCTAATTAATAATTAAATTTTACTATCATGGTGACCAATTTATTCCAGCTACTGATTGCATTTATAGTATCATATATTATTTAATTATTCATAATCGATTGTTGTATTTCAGTTTCTCGTATATTTAGCTTTTTGTATTTTAAAACCCTTTTACCTTGTGTTTAATTATGAATGTCTAGAAAACGTTCCCCTCGTCTAGAATTTAAAATCAGCATTAAATTTGTGTTACATGGATTTTAATCAATAAAAAGTACAGCCAAAACCATTGCTGCTTATCAATAGCTCTCGACACTAGAATCGCGACATTTTCTCTGCGCCTGCGACACTAGAGAAAAACGCGTTTGCGTATGCGTGCATTTCAGCACGTTTTCTAGGAATTTTGAAGAGTTTGAGTGAGAAAATAAACTGTTTGTTTTCTCCGAGTATACAAAAAAAATCGCGAGAATACTTTTGTCAGACTAAGATGTACTGTATTAACAAACACAATATGAAAGAATTAGCCTTAAGTTTCAAGCATGGACACTACGATTTGGCATTTGGTGAAGTCATTTTATCAGGCATGTTTGAAAGTCAAATTTACATTTATTTACTAATTTACATACGGATTCAGAGCATTCGCAGACGTTTTTCACTCGTGTCTGCGCATGCACGATACGATGTATTTCGTCGAGCATGCGCAATTAGAGTTAGGATGACACGACTCGTTCCAGAGCCGGTCTACTTCGACGATCGATGCGGCGGCCATCTTGAATCACAAGGCATTGTGGGTCGTCTAGGGGTGCAAATAGATGAAGCTTTGTTACAATCATGGCGTCATTTGCCCAGTTTACGGTTCAAAGAAAGACGGTTTAACAAGAGATGGATTAAAACAAATGAACAGTTCCACAACTGAGCAAATTTCTCAAATACCAAGGGCTCTTCATTTCAGCACCTGTTATATTTTGCCCCCTAAACAACCCATGTCTTGCGATTCGAGATGGCCGCCTCAGCGTTGAAGTAGTTTACTGCTTCGTTGAACATGCGCATCAAGAAATAAGCGATCTGGGAACGAGATTGGCCTCTGAAATTAAAGAAAATATTACGCCCAAAGTAAAGAAGTCTTATGTAGGTGTTTCTACATAACTCACAGTGGAGGAACCCCACAATCCGCGTCGCTTATAGATCTCCAAGATGGTTTGCTCTGGGCTCTTTAAGGTAATTAATTCCCTTGTTTTGCACTGCGCATTTTTCTGCGCATGCAACTAAAAGCATGGAACTAACAAAGTTTAGGCATAAAAACATGTTCCAAACCGATATTCATTTTTTTGAGTGGAGAATTTCGATTTTTGTCTCGCCCCAGTCTCCACTCGGAAAAGTGTCAGTTTTCGACTATTTTGAGATGTTTTTTTTTCCCCAAGATAAATCAAAAACGAGAATGGTGATCCCCATTTTTCATTTCATGTTTTTGATAAATGCAATGCTTCTGATTATATGTCAAAATATGAAAAAAAGTTTATTGGATACATTTTGAAATATTTTGAAAGTTTAAATGTGCAATTTTTGGACGTTAGTAGAGGCGCACATACCTGCATTTTTCACTAATAGTTCAAGAATCAGTCATCCAATGACTTTGATGGATTTAATAGTATAGATTATCTAGTAAACTTCGAGTTATGAGTACGTTTTGTTATATAAAAGTACTTTTAACTGTGAATAAAGGTTCTTGATTACAGCTTCCGTTTGCTACCGCATTTCACTATAAAACCCATAAATTGACATATTTGGAGAGCATCTAGCGAAAAAACGAGAACGGTGACCCCATCTTTTTATTGCAGTTTTTAAATGTCCATAACATAATTAATGTCCATGCAAAGTTTCATGACAAAGTCATTGGCAAAATTTCTTTCAAGGGAATTACCTTAACCAACAACACTTGATTAGAGGAAAATCTTTAATAGCTAACATGATGCCAGTAACTACATAACGACCTAGACAGTTTACACAAGAGAAATGAACTGATTGTAAATAATAGAAACTGGTTCAGGATACTTTAATACCATAAACGTTGTCCACTACCTCGTTCGCAGTCGACAAGTGACACATCCCTTGATCATGTAGCCATTGTCTATTACCTATTGCAGCCTTAATAATAATTTTATCAACATAATGTTTCAGAGGGATTTGTATAACAAATAGAGTATTTTTGCTAGCTAGTTCCACTTGATAATACCATGTGTAGTTTATTGGGTTGTGTGGTATATCTTAGTAATCATCTCTATCTCATGACCTGTTTTAGGGTGATATTTAGTACCGGTTATGCTGAAGTGTATTATAGTTTATTAACACTCTTAGTAGCCAATGAGGCAATATCTTTACATGAGTGATGCAGTTTTCTTATGTGCAACTATTACTTACCAGCCACTCCCACACAACACACTGAATTAGTTGAATACAGACTCACATGACCACATGAAACTTCCTTTAAAGAGACTCTCATAAAAATAGATTGAACTAATCCCTAAAGTTAAACTAATACATATAATACATTAACAAAAACGCACTTACAAGCCACACAAAGCAACAGATACAAATACAGGCCAAGAGGATGGATGTTAGTATTATCATATGTATTATCATATGGAACAAGGGATGCAGAATCTGACATTACTTAAGAAATGTCACAAACTGTTTCTCTAGCATTCTCAAACAGGACTACAAAGGTGTAAAACTACTATTCGTCATTGCCCTCCTCTCCTTCCTGTGAGTTCCAAAGCTGAAAGCAAAAGCAAAAAAACGAGAAGTTAGAAGTTAGAATAATTAATATTCATTATTGCTAGGTTTCCTTCATCATTTCTTGTCTTCAGCTGAATCGCATTTTTTTAACCAAATTCTTTCTGGCTGCCAGCAAAGACTTTTATCCGTTGATTGGCACCAAGCAATCCCTCCATTTATGTTTCCAACTCAGACAATATTAAACCAATCAGCAGCAGTAATTTTAAGTGGAATCACACAATTTGTCCTAAAACATCTAAACATTTGCTGTTCTCAAGGAAGTTACATTTTAATAAGAAAACTAGTCGTAAAAGATAACGTTTCGCTGTCATCTTGACAACATCATCAGGTCTAATGAAAACTGTAAACTCTACTATATGTAAATATAGCCAAAGGAAGTGTTAAAGTTCAATGAATAACAATGAAATAGATTAAATCAAGCGGAAAAATGACAATAAAAGCGCAAAGCAAACAAAAAATTATTAAATGAAAACTTTTGCTCTAATAGAGTCTGATTGTTTGTTAATAAGTTCAGGTTTTCTGTCTTTGATGCATAACATTTCGTAGATCAAGCAATCAAGTTTTCTTCTACGAAACATGGTCTTTTACAACTAGTTTTCTTATTATATTGTATTCCTAAAAGTTACATTTTCTTTGAACAATAGAAATTAATTCGTTAAAAATATGATCAGGTTTCATTAATCAGAGGTTAAACTTTGAAATATTATGGCTAAATTTTGGAGTTTGTGGGGCACGCAACAGTACATAAGGGGAGTTGGAAACATGAATAGAACTTTTTACTGACATGGCAGCCATCTTAAATTCTATTGTTTTAAATACAGTAAGACATTATGGAATGCCGAGGGGGCAAATATATATAAAAAATTGACTTTGCAGCTGTCAGGATGTCTTTTCATATACATGTAACTTTATGCTTTTCAATGAGAAGAACATCTAAAAAGGAATTAAATTTGCTGGTAATTATTTGAGAACGTAACCCCACCACTCTATTTCAGACGTGTTTGTCCCTTCAATATCCAATAATTCAAGATGGCCGACATATCTGTAAAAAGTTCTGTTGCATACACCTTACATTTATCAAAGACAACCACAAAATAAACCTCTTCAGCTTGAGCAAAATGTTTTCCCATTTCTGATATGTTGTTCCCTGAGTATCATTTATAATGATGATGTAACGTGCCCTGTGATTTGTTATTTAGGCTGTGCGAGCGTGCATCAAAAAAATGGATGGTGCAAGACACATGGGCTGAAATGGAAAAATTTAACTTTCAAGCTATAGAGGTCTATTTACTGAAAATATACATGAGTGCAAAAGGGTGAAAGAATAAAACTCACAGTCAAGTTATCTCTCAACAACTGCATAATTAATGTACTGTCCTTATATGCATCTTCAGTAAGGCTATCAAGCTCAGCTATGGCATCATCAAATGCCTACAAACAATAAAGAATAATCAATGAGAAAAAAACACAACAGAAATGATCACCTATTGATGCTTTTCAACCATTCCCAAGAGAATTAAATAACAAAAGACATGGCAGCCATGTTGGATATAACAAAAGAATTCATTGACAATTTTTTTGTTAAATTCCTCCAACATGGCCACCGTGAAAACCATCAGTAGGAGAAATTTATGTAAATATAAAGAACTATAACACAGATTTTCTTATCAAACCTACAGATCACCATTACAAATCATATTATATACACTCAATAAACCCTTTTCCAGTTACAATGGACCCTTCTCGAAAGTATCATGGATGCGAGGTTAGCATGGAAATACAAAAGAAATCACACTTTTTCTCAATGGAATTTGTGGCATTGCTTTTGTATTTCCATGTTAGCCTTGCATTCAAGACAATAATTGTCTTATTTTAATAAGGGTTCATTACTGCTGTAATGTTTGACAACAGACGCAATTTCAAAATGGCAAAGAAAGCACAAAGGAAAGTACCAAAGAATTTTGACATGAAATGCATGAATAGAAATGCATTTTTTTCTGAATCAAGGCTATCCCAAATGGCCAAAATGCACAAATCGAAAACAAACATAAAAAAATGTTGACATTTTTAAACAACAGAAACACATCACTGAATTGAGGCTAACCCTGTAATAATGCGTCATTTAAATGACCAGAAACTGGAGTATTGCAAAATCAATGTTGGGTTAGGATAATGGATAATGGATAAAGGATAATGATGTTGTTTCCCAGTAATACCTTTAAAGCACAATGAGCAAAAGTATGACAGTGCTATGTATGTATTCTCATACTCCTATGCACAGGCTTTTGTATGTTAAACCAAAACATTTCAATGCGAAACTGGCTGGTTTTACCAAATAAGGTGTACAAGAGCTTTTTTGGCAGGAAAAAAGCCAGTGGTTATGCTTTTGCGCATGTGTTGCCCTTAAGTCCAGGCTTCTATTTCTATGATAGTGATTTTGCAATAGAGAGTATATATTTCTAAATAGATGGAACTACAAAAATAACCTCATCCATCACTTTGTCTGCAGTGTCAAATGCATTTTCTAAAATCCACTGGGCTGATCAAAGTAAGGGCACACCTAACTCATATATTTAATATGTTTGAATTTAGCATGTTAGGTTTTGAGGATGGAGGAAAACTGAAGAGCCCTGAAAGAAACCTTTGAATGGAGCAACAGATAAAAAAGCCCTTCTCACATTTGATACCCCTTCCAGGAATCATACCCTGAAGACCTCAGAATGAAAGAATGAAAACAATGCTTTCCAATTTTGAATTGTGGAGCCAACTAGAAACTAGCTGAAAATAGCCTTTCAATATATCTTTTTATTCCCACAAGAAAAGGACAATGGCTATATAGCTGTTTCATGTAACATAAGGGTCAAATTACCATTCTTGTGCAGAGTCTACATTGTAGGTTTCTGATTGGCTTGACATTGGCTTGCAGTGTTTTCAAATTCATTCTACAATTTGATTTGTTCTCAATGTATTAGTCACATTGTTATACCCAGTGGCTAACAAACATGTGGCTCTCACTCCATGCTCACATTGAATTTAAAGGTGATCTCTGTGGAGGGAGGAAAACGAGAGAACCCGCAGAAATACCCATGAAGCAGGTGACAGGGGAGAACCAATTAGAAACTCTACTCACGTACAACACCGACTTGAACTCAGGTTGCACTGCTGAGAGGTGATTGCTTTCACTGCAATGCTACCCATGCCTCCATAGAATAAGTTGAAAAGTTGTAATGTTACCTGTTTGGCCAATTTACAGGCTTGTGCCTGGTCTTCTAAGATTTCATAGTAGAAAACAGAAAAGTTCAAAGCCAATCCCAGACGAATCGGATCAGTGGTCTTCATATCTTTGTCTTTACAGGCTTCCATGGCTTCAGTGTAGGCTTTCTTTGAAGCCTCAACAACATCTGTCAGGGAGAAAAGATGTCAGTTAATATCAAAGCTCTATGGCCTTGGGTTTATACACCTATTTGGAATCCCCAAAGGCAATAGGCAAAAAGCAATAGGAGATAGATCATTCCTAAATCTGTGTTACTGTGTGAGGTGTTTCTGCTTCTTTTTCTCATCAAGAACATGGACCTTAGTGTTGAGATTGATTCAATGTTTTTTGTATTTCGTATTTTGAGTGACCTATCGCATATCGCCTTTGGCAATGATGGTTTGTTTTTGTTTTTTGAAACAGGCGTATGAAAGTCCTTATTACTCTTCATATGGCAACATGCTGACCAAGACAAAAGAATGTAACAGGAAAATTGGTATTTTTTATTTTTTATGAAATATTTGAGTTATAACAGGTATGCTGATTGTCTGGCTACAGTGTTTATATCAGCGGACATAGAAATACTCACCCAAAATCAGTTTAAAAAATATTATGTAAGAGCAATTTGAAACAACTGCTTACATTTTTTGGAGCTGTAAAGCACTCCAAAAGGAAGAAAAACACTTTACCATTTCATTTTTTTCAATTGAAGCTAATTCCTTTTTATCTTCATTGTCAAGTTTGTCACTTTGTATACTATAGAACGTTTAAGTTGTAAAGTATTTCCAGGTCAAACTGCTCATGAAAACCACTAACATAAAGCAAAAAATATTCTCAGTGATTTAACATCCACCTGAGACAAATAGAACTTTTGACAAAAAACATACCTGTCCAATTCATAATCCAATTAGTCAGACCATATTTATTACTTGAGTTTATTTTTATTCTTAGTTTATATATTTTAATGTAAAGGCATTGAGATTTTGTAATGCCTTAGAACCACAATTATTATTATTATCATTAACAAATCCTGTCATAAAAAAAAATCTTCATGCTTTCTGTTTTGGACCAAGAATTTTTTCCCCATATGAGTGCTGTCACACTTTAAAGCTTTATCACATCCATCCCAATCTACCTTGCAAAGATTATTATATTTTATTATGTATTATTATTATTATTTATTCATTTGTAAGCATCAACCCTATTATTATTTAGCAACTTGGCAAAATTTAATCTATGTCATCTAACTCGATTATCGTCTGCTATTTTTAGATGACATGTACAAATAGGTTTTCAACTTTTTTTCCTATGTTTTCTCTGCTCTTGACAATGTAATTGTACAAATAGAGGTATTGTTGTTGTGGTTGTTGTTGTTGTCGTTACATCAACAACCTAGGTAGCTCACATGGTTTAAAATTCAATACTCTCTAGATCAGACTATGGTTCTGGCATTTCTCTGATAGCCAGACAGTACACACTTTTATATTCATTGTTCAGCATTTGTATTCATGAAATTTGTCTGAAAATCTTTATTCCTTTTCTCAACACTGTGTCCAAAATGTCAGTAAGTTTTTTCATCTTTTCATGGTGTAAAATTTCCTAGCAGTTTCCTAATAAAGATAGCAATACAGTGCAATTATGTGCACTATTCAAGAAATATTTTTGTTCAATCTGTCACAACTAATCGAATTGTAACATTTTAAGGGAGTTTTTCTTCATTTGTGATTATTTTGACAGATCTAGGCTGGGCTGTGTTTATAGTGTTCAAACGACGAAAAACAGTGATCAATGCAGTGAAATTCTAATGCCAAGACAAACACTAGTAAGTTGAGTGTTATTTTCTAATAAATTGGTATAAAGTGGGGCTCACGTTTGAATTATAAAGAAGACTACAACTGCTTTATGTATTGCATTTTTGGTCTCAATTTTGTTCCAAAACAGCTGTAGTATCTTAGGCCAGTAAAAGTGTACAATTGAGGTTGGTACTTGGATAAATGACAAATAAAACAACCATCTTAAAGGTATTTAAGATCAATTTGTGTGTAATCGTGATGGTAGATGTTACAGTTAGTATTAAAGCCCCATTCAGTAGTACTTAGCAAAACTACTTTCTTAAATAATGCATTGAATTTTTACCTACGGAGATATACTTGACAACAATGACAAATAATACATACCAAAACGACAAAAAAATGACCACATTTTAGCTAGATCGCTATGTTTATCTAAGAAACTACCTTTCTTTACCAATGAGGATAATCAAAGAAGAATAAATGGGAAGTTGTGAGTACTAAAGATGTTTGAATGAGACCTTTCAAGATGTACACTGTACCTTTTTGACACATTGTGAACATTGCATGAATGGTTTTATAAGACTAATTCTACATCAATCGGCAAAGAAAAGACGTGAATTACTCGAAGAATAAATAAAAATAACGGATATATTACTCTTGTTAGCGAAGGTTTACTATTTTATTAAGAGAATAAAGAAAAACAAGAATGAGAATAAGAAGAATCCGCGTCTCAAATCACTTTGAAATGGCTTTGAAGTTGAACAACACAAAGAAGAATTCTAAATGAGATAGAAGCACACCCACCAGCAATACTATAATCTCAAAGAAATAATCCCTGTAAAATGTACAGACTCAAAGCTTACTTTTTCTGTCATCACCAGAAGCAACTTCAGCCAGGTACCGATGATAATCACCCTTCATTTTTAAGAAGAATACCTTTGATTCAGCATCCGCAGCATTTGGAATAAGATGGTTTTCCAACAAATCCTGCAAAGTGAAATGAAAACAACAGGATATGGTACCAAAAATCGTACATGAGTTACTCTGAAGAACACTAGAATAAGACTTAAACATTAGAAGCTGTTTAGGATGCCTCTAGTGATTCATTGGAGATTTTAAAAGACACTATAGCCTATACAGGGTGGGGCGATGAGACAAAAACAACCAAAAAGACTTACCAGAACGTCTCTGCAAACCTCCTTCAATTCCGCTTCTATTTTCTCTCGGTACTCCCTAGCCATTTGTTCTTTTTTCTCGGAGTTATCTGCTTTTTGTTCTATACTAGAAATAACCCTCCAAGACGAACGCCTGGCTCCTACCACGTTCTTGTAAGCCACCGAGAGCAAGTTTCGCTCCTCCTGCTCAAGTTTTGGACTAAGCTCTGTTGCCTTCTTCATAGCATCGGCCATATCGTCGTATCTTTCCGTCTGTTCGGCATATTTTGCCTTTAGAACCAATTCTTCTTTCGTTTGTCCCATAATAGAAGGGTGTGTGGGTGCTACGAGAGCGGCAAAGTAATACAAATGCGGCGAGTATTGAACGATCCAAGATGGCCGAACGAAACGGTTCAAGGTCGATCCTGGCGCGCGCGTGCTTGAGCTCGACCCTTGCTGGGGGTAGCGTGACGTCACCTCCTCATTATACATGGTAATTTATTTCAAGTTATTCCGCTACAACCCCCTAAAAAAACCCAACCCTTTGGTCTCATCACTTCTAATTCCAGATCAACACTTCAATGCTTAAAATTAAAATATTCCCAGCTTTAAATTTTATTTTTAAATTTTGTTTTTTTATTGGAAGAAGGTTGTACATTTGGCTAAGTAGCCTGGCCTCTATTCAATAGAGCATGTATCTGCCTGCATATATCAGTATTGAAACTCTCAAATTTCGACACCACACTTCAGTCCTTTAAATTAAATTGTGATTTACAATGCATAAAAGAATGTTTTTGGTTAAATTGCTGTATCAACACGTGACGTCTAAACTCATTATATATTAAATTATGTCAAATTATCCTCTACCCCCTAAAAACCCTCATAAAGCCCTTTAATCACAACAATTTAATCTTTAAAAAATATATAGCCAAGATTTTAGTTTTAATTTAAGAATTCTGAATTAAAATATACAAAAAATGCTAAAAGTTGTACTTTTGGCTAAGTAGCCTGGCCTTTATTTAATACTCATCCATGTACCTTGGATATGAATCTCTTGAAGGTAAGCTCTTTTATACCGGTTACCAGTGTACTTATTTTCCCTGATTTCCTGAAATTAGGAATTCTTTTTCAGGAAGTGGCGATTAAAATGCTATAATGTCTAATTTTAGCCACATCGGATCCTTAGTATTAAAGCTTATCCAGTAGTGTGTCATGGTAAACTTCCGTTTCCTTGTGTGAGTAAAAAATATGCTTTATCTTGTCAAAATAAGTCTAATATCGGTATATATATTTCTAAACATGCCTCATAAGGATAGATAAGAAGCTAAGGCGATAGTATAACTATGTTTTTAACAAATTCATTCAATTTTCTAACCATTTTTTTTGTGTCATAGTATTAAAGAACTCACTGTTCAATATGTGAAAGATTAATTAAAAATATTAGGCTTATCTCCTGGATTAGTTTAGTTCCATTAAGGAGAATAAAGAGATAGGAACCAAGTTTATTGGAATTAAATATAATGATATATATAATACTGCATCATGAATACCCAGTTGCAGAAAACATATCCATTGTGGCATATCCATCAGATCTAATAGCCAAGTGCCTGTGTTGAATATAGAATAAGTATGACATTGTGATTGGTCGAGCAACCAGTAGTGGTACTGATTATGAGGTTTTCTAGAACGGAAGTTATACTAAAACATTTCCTTATCCTGAATTTCGTCTTCTTTCATATTCAAGTCTAAAATGATCATACTAAAACAAGTATTCACCTGAGGAGTAGTAGATGTGATGAATATTTACCTTGACTATGTCTCAGAAAGTATTCACTGATATTCACTTTACTGTTGATGAATAATTGTTAATTATTTATAGGGAGTATGCATGCCATTTATTATTATATAGTAGGGGGAACATATATTTGTTCCAATTGAGGGTTACATACAGCATCATAATTTATTTTCTAATCAAAAAATTATGTTTACCAATAAACTTGCAATAAATGCATTCTTAGTCAATATTGAGATCTTTTCCTATTCCTAGGAGCAGATTCCAATATTCATATAGTCTGCATTGATTATGCATGGCAGGGGAGGAAGGCCGGGGGGGGNAATTTTCACCAACTTGCAAAAAGGTTGTCATAGAGAAATTTAAAAATAAACTTTTAGGCTGCGATCATAATGTATGGCGGGGGGGAGCAGGTGAAATTCAGGTAGGGGCTGAAACGCATTTGTAAAAATATCAATGTTATTCCAAATCATGTATGATTCTATAGAGTATGATTTCTTTCTTTACTTATAAATTTAAACTAATAATTTCTTCCCATTTTGTTACATTAGTCAGGAACTTTGATGAATGACTGGACAAATATATCAGACAAATGGAATATGATTGCTAGTTTCATACTCATTGGTTCATAGATAATTACCTTTGCTTGTACGCACATCAACTGGCATATAAATGGCAAGCAAACTTGTACAATATGTAGTAGTGCGAGGTGATTTGCTACGTTCTATGAGCTGGCCGACTGGTGCTGTTATTGCACAAGCATGTCATGCTTGTAGCGCTGTTATCTGGCTATTCAAAGATGACCCAAATACCATAGAGTATGCAAAAGATATTGACCATATGCACAAAGTTGTGCTTGAGGTAAATAATCAGAATCAGTCAGTCAGTCAGTCAGTCAGTCAGTCAGTCAGTCAGTCAGTAACATTTTCAAAAATTGAATAACCTTTAATTAATAGACTTCTTATATCTTTATTAGTGTGATGTTTCCCATTTCAGACCATGTGTCATTCTCTTGAGAATAAGATCCTTTGTTTGAGTTGTATCCATATTCATGTGTCTTCTCATGCACAAACGTTAAACAAAGGGATGATACTCTAGGAAATGACACGTGGTCTGAAATGGGGAAAAAAATAAGCCCAAGGTTAAAGAAGGTCTCAACTAGTTACCAGGTTTCTTTACTTTTTTCAGGCAAAAGATGAGGAACAGCTGAACAATATTTCAATGGCATTAACAGCTGATAATATCGACCATAAGTTATGGATAGAACAGCCAGAAAACTATGTCACATGCCTGGCAACGAAACCCTACACGAAAGACCAAATACAAAAATACTTCAAGAAATTGAAGCTTTTTAAATAAAGATTTTTGCATTGTGGCTGAAGCATTAATTATTTTATATAGTTTAAGGTAATGCGAAAGTGCATTCGCTCGTTGTGTGCATCAGTTTCTGCGCGTGCGCTCTTTATTAATTTTCGAAGTATTCAGTGGCTGGGCTTCCTGTGGTGGAGCTCTTTCAATCTGGAGTATCAAGGCATTTTCATCTTCAACAGCGATTATCTAGAAATCTTACGCGGTTACCTATCCTGATTTGTCAACTGTAAGTCCAGGTTTACTAAGACTACAACATATCAAAAAATGAAGGTTGATCATTGGGCTAGATTGTGAGTAAATCGCGAAAATTTGGATTGCGAGCAACGTCAAAATGTTTTGGAAATTAATAATTGAGAACTCTTTCTTAAACGCAATAAAATTAGCGACTTCGGGTTTATAATCATAATATGTTAACGTATGTATCATTTGAAGCTTGTTTATGTTATTATTTTCAAGTGAGAAGAGAGCTTGTAATTTGCATTTTCCTATTTTCCCCGAAAACACGGCCGCAAGCGTCGCTACCAGCCCTATATTTTCAAAAAACTATATTTTCTCAAAGAATTCGGGGTCCCCCATTTTTTATTTCATATATTCATACTGGAACTCATAACAAATGTTTACGACAAATTTTTTAAAAAAATGTTGGGAAAAAATTCACGATCGCATTACCTTAACGAGACTGATGCCTACTTGAGAACGCTCGATTTGTGCGCACGCGCGCAAAAATAGCACGGAACGATTGACAAACATCTTTTCATACATGAGTTTATTTAGAGACGGTAAAATCATTAGTAAATATATACATCACAATAATAGAAATACTGTTTTCCGGGATTGTCGTGTGAGCTTGTGTAATTAAAAATATTTATTATTAAGTTTATTATTGATTTTATACAGTGAAAGGGAATCAGTACTTCTTTTATCATGCGGAAGACTGTTTCATAATTAAAGCTGCTCCACAATAACTGAAATAAAGTTTCAGATAATTGATGACTGAAGTTTTTTCTTAGAATCTAGGCTTCGTTGCTTGCTCCTGATCGGTTCAAGTTTGACTCGCAGCTTAATTGATAAGTTTGTTTTTATTATGTTTCGTGTTTGGTCAGTTCTTCAAGTGGTTCGGGATAGTTTTTACGCACAGTAAATTCTGTATAAGAAAACCTTCCTAAAGTTTTCCTTTTTGCTGAAGTCTAAAGTAGTCACGACCCACTTTAATGAAAGGTGTTACTGATCTGAAATTATGGCAAGGAGCGAGCGGAATTGAAGAGATTTGAACCAATCAAAGTTTGAAGTTTTTCTTTTTCATCGAGACTTTTTTTAAGAAAAAAATAAATAAAACAATATTTAAAGTGCATAAATGACACCTAACTCAATACTCTCACCATTGATTCTACATGAAGTGAATAGTTGATTGGTAAAATATTTTCATATGATTTGAGTGATGCATCTTGAAGATATCAAGGTATAAATACTTCCAATGTGTTGTGAAGTTGGCATTTGTGTTTGTTTGTCGTCGCTTGTAAACTAAGACCCCTTGCCAAAATGGCGGCCGCAAATTCGGTTGAGTTAAAACAAAAACTGAGAGAAAAACCAATACCAGCACTGGAAAGAGCACCTTTACTTTAGTAACCCTATGAAGATTCATTATGTCAAGTGTTATATCGGCCAAGAAAACTTTAGTTGAAAATTGACAAGTTAGATTATATCTGCCTAGGAAAAAGTGTTTGCTTTGCTGGCTTGAAAACGTCATCACATAAAGCAAACAGACAATTTTACTAGTAACAAAACAAACAAATCTTCAGTTATATTTGGCAGTAACATCTGCGAAGCTCGCGTGAGAGTTCCTGAAATGAAGACTTTTATATGTTATTTTACTACCAAAGTAATTATGTCAGGACCCTCAAAATCTCGTATTGTAGCACCTCCTCTAAACAAAAGTTTGATTTAATATAATTTAGTATATTGATAGAGAGATACGGCCATAAATCATTTCATTGCAGGTTTACTGATAAATAAATATGGATTCGGTGATTTGTTATGGATACAGATTTTCATGGGGTAGAGTCAATTGACAGCAGTAAATCAACTGATATAGTTCCAATTCTAAAAATTTAATTATTCATGAAAAGTTTTGATAAAAATATTTCAAATAATTTTGAATAGAAATGAAGACTGGCGGCAGATGATATATGAAATTACTCGTACCAAACTGTCAAAACAACCCGATGGTTCCAAGTATATTACCTTATAAATTGAATCAAATAAACAAGGCTTGATTAAAATTGTTTTTAGCATTATTAAAACAAGGACAGATGCTTTTTTTTTTTTTTTTTTTTTTTTGTTCACTTGGTTTATAAGTTACGTACACGGTTGTGTTCGCACTGCTTTTGATTCCATTCCATACAGTTATCAACGTTGTTCTTTGCTAGATAAACTTCGACAGGGAAGATCGACTGTTAGTCAAATCAAAAAAATATAAAAAGAATAAAAGCAAGTCTTCAAAAAGAAGTTAAAAGGTTTACGGCGATACTAAGGTAAAGCTTTTGTCGTTTCCCCCTGTTGTTCTTCAGACAAACAGATAAACCTTACGAAGAAAGATAAACTATAATACTGTATAGTTCACAAATAGATGAAAAGGGTTCTATCAATTTAGGAAGTTATTTTTAAAAAAATTAAAATTTTACTGCAATAAGACGGTAAAATTTAAGCAGTAAAATAGGAAAGCCTTCTCCAAGTCAATTGCGGCAAAACAATATTTCATATTGATTTTAATATTACGTTAAGTTTTCCGTTGAATGTTTTCCTTAGCCTGAACGTTTAGTGATCATACACCTGCCACTGAAGCACCAAACCAAAATGCTTTCCTTCCTTCCTTTCCTTCCTTCCTTCGAATTCCTTCCTTTCCTTTCCTTCCTTCCTTCCTTCCTTCCTTCCTTCCGTGCTTCCTTCCTTGCTTCCTGCTTCCTTCCTTCCTTCCTTGCTCCATGGCACATTTCAATCTAAGCATAAGTCTTCGCCATTGAAGGGTGGATGGACGTGTACTCTAGACGTAGTTATAGACGACTGTAATTTTCACTTCAATTTTCACGCTTTATAATATAAAGATTCTGAAAACTCATTACCGACAATTTGATTAAACCTGTTTCATTTTAGAATGGATGTGGGGACGAACTCTACCCAAGTGAATTTACGATGGCTCGAGTTCATGAACCGCAGTCCAGCTACCATCGTTGTAGAGACAAGTGTAATACTCCTTATTGCACTGATTGCCATTGGAGGAAATCTTCTGGTAGTAATCTCCATCTATCGTAATCCCAGTCTTCGTTCCATCACTAACTACTTCGTACTCTCGCTCGCTGCGACTGATGTCGTGTATCCAGCAGTAGGACTGCCTCCTTCTCTAATTTGGTCTATTATGAGTCGTTATACTTTTGAGCAAAACGTATGTACCTTTCAAGCCGTGTGTACACTTGCTTTGTCCTACGTTTCCATCTGTATGATAGTGTTAATGGCAATCAATCGGTTTGTTCGCGTTTGTAAGCCTCAGAAATACAAGAAAGTGTTCAACAAGATCACATCTCTTGTGATGATCACTTTTGTGTGGGTAGTCAGTTTTATACTAGTGACTTTAAGTATAGCAAATGGAGACAGGTTTGCCCTGGCTCGCTTCGTTCCCACGCAAATAAGATGTGGTATTGTTTACGACAGGCGAAACACATTCGCGAAAACTGTTGGAAATACGCTCAATGTGATTTTCGTGTTCTTGCCCATCGGCATCATCGTCTACTGCTACTTCAAAGTCTTCAAGAAAATCCGAGAACACAAGAGAAACATCGCTCCTGCCTCCAATCCAAACAGCCTGGGCACAAGTGTACAAGAAATCAAGGTCACGTGGACCATGTTCGCAGTTTTGATTGGGTTTTGCTCGACATGGATTCCAGCGGTTATTATACTTATCTCTAACAATRCTTGTGACTTTTTCAAATGCAMWGTACCTCGCCAGGCTAATATGGTACTACCATTTGCAGCACTGGGCAGCTCTGCCATCAATCCTGTGATATATGGAGCAATGAACACTGCATTCAGGAGAGAGTACATTAAGATCCTTCGCTGTATGTAGATCAATGAATGACGCCATATATAGAGGCCCAGAAATACAACATCCTAACGAGGAGCCCCGAGGCCCTGAGCCCATCCTTTTTTTCCGCTCCATTTTTTTATCTTGTTAAAACAACTCTTCGCTATCAGTTTGTGAGGAAATCCTTACACCAGTTCTAAAGTGAACCTGAGATACCAAAATTACGCGTAAAGTTCCTGCAGCAGTATTTCATGCAACACTGTAACAAAGCCTTGGTAAAGTCCAAAAACACAACGCTAAGTAGCTGCGCGCAGTAGCTCTTCATTTAGTTTAGCTCTGGCGTTTGCTGTTTTGAATGCAAGTCGCTCGTTACAACCACAGCAAGCGAAATAGAAACTCTGGAGCCCAGGGTAGCATTTAGTGTCTTTGCAATCTGTAAATAATAATAATAAATAATGATAACTTAATCTGTAAATATAAGACCATTGACATATGCTTAATTACTTAGAACATTGTTACTTAAGACTAGATTAGCTTTTTAGTTAATTTTAAGTAACATTTACTTATTATTTGTATAATCTTTCTAATTACCTTGTAACTAATTGTAAATATTTATAACAAAAAAGTAATAAATTTGTTGTTCTTGTTGTCCATTGATGTTGCATGTGATAACACTAGTTGAATTGGCAGAGAAGTGTCCTTTTACAAACCCTTTTTCTGCGAGTCTGTTAGATAAGGAACCTCATTTGAGTATACTATGCTTGGTGTGAGATATATGCAATCCTCCTTGACATTTACTTGGTAGTAATGAGATAGGTCGATACTTTGCAACCACTTTCTTGGGATCCATTCCTAAGATATTAATTACTATAAGCCTATTTCAAAAAATGTTGTCATCGCCCAATGCGATGGGCGATAGTTCATTCCGAAACGGAAATGGTTTTGTCGACTACAAACAACATTGAATCAGTCTCAACAGTTAGGTCCATGTTCTTGACGAGAATAAGAAGGCGCAGAAGTACAAGCCATTCCAACTATTCTTGGATTTTGAAATAACCTCTTGCCTCTTGCCTCTTGCCTCTTGCCTCTTGCCTCTTGCCTCTTGCCTCTTGCCTCTTGCGATTACATTTTTTGAGAAATAGGCATACGAAAGAAGCCAAGCATTTCGTAAAGGGGGGGACTCTTTTATATATATGAGGGGAGCTATTCTTGTCGGAAATTTTGCAAATGACCCCTCAATTTAAAGGTAACTGAGTTTTGTCTTGGTGGGCATAACATGTGAATCATTTTTACCCCTATATAACAGGTACCATTAGACTTTTTTACTGATACGGCGGCTATCTTGAATTATGGGAAGCCGAAGGGGGCAAGGTAGAAAATTTATCAAGCATAAAGTGGAGGGGTTACGTTTTCAAATAAGTTTTGGAGTTTCGGATATTGTTCCATTTACCAGCAAATTCAATTTCTATTTACATGTGCTTTTCATTTGAAAGCGTAAAGTTATATAAACAGACACCCTGACAGCTGTGCAGTCTATATACATCTTCCGATATTTGTCTCCTTGCATCCCATAATCAAGCAATAGAATTCAAGATGGCCGCCGTATCAGTAAAAAGGTCTATTAACTCGGTACGATATCATCATATCATCACATATTAGAACGTTTTCACATAACGGGTTATCTTATGCTAATGAGTTTGATGAGTTACATATAATATGCTAATGATCTGACACACGCGAATATGCTGCACGCTTAGCTCCGCAAAACCGAATTCGAACAAAAATAATAATTATTATAATGATGATTTATTAACTTATATTGCGCAATTATCAATCATGTAAATTTTTCAGCTGCGCATTACAATAATTACTACTTAAAAGCTCATCAACTTACATTATCAAAATTAAAATTAAAAACCAAACCAAACCAAACCAAACCAAACCAAACCAAACCAATAATGCTAGAACTTATGGAATATTTAAGTAATGGAATATTTATTAACTGTAAACCCATTCAATAATTTAACGCCACGACACTAACTGCTCTCGGGTCAATGTACATGGCGCGTATCCTTCTCATAAGAATAAAGAACAAGAAAACATTACTGTCATGAGCCTTGACATTGACATGGCAGGTATGACGTAATTTCACTGCCATGTCACGAGTCTTACTCGAGTTACAATATCGTTAAGAGAACATCTTAGTAGTACAAGACTTTGTGGCGCCAAGTAAGATAAGGATCTAGGTAATCAACTCTATTATTATTAATTACCGCTAATAGTAGATTATTAATAAAGATAAGGTTTGCAAATGCACGAAGGAAATAAATTGCGATACTTGACTGTTGTTATTCAATAATATAAACCTTTACCTGACACGCACCAACATCCCGAGTATTTTATAAGGAGCAAATGACACGGAAAACTGAACTTTAAATCAATTCTCTTTTGGCAATGTAATGACGAAATTTATCGTCAATAAGAGGACAGACACATAAATTGCTGATGTCAATTTTTCTTTTACTTTTTTTACTATAACAAAACGATGAAAACGGCTCGAAACAACCAACGGAAAGAGCGTGCGCAGGTTGATGTCAGCTTATCTGTCTGTACTTTTATTGATAAAAAAATAACAAATCAGCTCGAGAGAATTTTTTAAGCTATTGTAAAAATAATATTTCAGGTGTTAGTGCTAACACGGTATTCTTCAGTCATTTTAGTTCTTGCAGTGATGTTCCGTACGACTTAAACTGGCGCATTAGATCAATAGATCCATAGTAATTCACTAATTACACTGTTTCCATTTCCTCTTAAACACAAACTATTGTTGGTTAAAGCGAGAGGCTCACGGACGTTTCTACAAATACATCGATGAAATACCTTATATATTGTCTTTTAGTGTGCAGTTGGAATCGGCTACACCAAGAAACACAGTCAGTAAATTTTCCTTGGCTAACAAAAGTGTAAGAAGCAGCAGTAAGGGGGACTCGCGGTCACCCCCCGGAATTACATGGGTATTCCCCGCGCTCACGTAAAGGCGGCCGCCGCGGGTATTACCCGTAAGGTCGTTCTGGGTATTGCCTGCGTAATTCGATTTGAAAAGCTCTCTACGGGTTTTACTGGTGCCCCGCATTACTAAGTTAAGATAGTGTCGCAAACAAAGGTTAAAATATTTCCTAGATATAGATGGACGCCATCAAAAGCATTCAAAACAAAACTGTGCGCAAACTGCGAACTCAGGTATTGGATCGTTTGGACGCCGACTTCGCCTTCACGACATTCACAGAAGGAGACACAGAAGAAATCATGGACGAAGAAAGANAACCAAACCAAACCAAACCAAACCAAACCAAACCAAACCAAACCAAACCGAACCAAACAAGGCAAGGCATACTCCAGACAACTCACATTGTACGAAAACGTACTCTCATCCAATCAAATGCCCGAAACGCGGCATGACTATACCACGGTGAGGACACAGTCTTGCAAATGTCACGGAGCTCCCAGACCAATCACATTGCACGAGGAAAAAATCCTCCATTCAAAATTCTAGAAAACATCACGGTTGCAGCAAAGCACGATACGGCCACCGACGTTTTAACATTTATACGATAACTGCTCTACGTCTCGTAGATATTTTATGTCCAAACAGTTCTTCGCGCAAGGCAGATATGCAAAAGTTTTAGGGAGGGGAAAACAATATGTAAAGAGATATAATCACATCAAACAAGCATTCATATCCAGCCGCCACCCGGTTAGCTCTTATGCAAAAGTTTTGGGGAGGGGAAAAAATACAAACAAACAAACAAGCACACAAACAAACAAACAAACAAACAAACAAACAAACAAACAAACAAACAAACAATTTCGAGATATGCTTCGTTTGTCACAGCATGCATCCTGCATGTCATGGCTCTCATCGCGTTATAATGTAAAGCCCCTTTATCCTCAAAGTTTTAATTTCTATACTGAGTTTTTTCTTAGTAGAGACTCACTCTCTTACTTATTTCTGTTTAGTTCAGTCTAGACTTGATCAACACTATCCTACAGAGAATCTGTATGTATTGTATTGTATTGTTTTGTTTTTTGTTTGTTTTTTTTTTTGTCTTTATTTAAGTAATAGAGAACAAAAAACAACTGTTGATAGGGTACTTTCGAAAAGTCACAAGATTAGATGTGGCGTACCTCAAGGGTCAATCTTAGGGCCTTATTATATCTGTTATTTATAATCTATATTAATGATCTTTCAGCTTGTGATCTGAATTCTAATATCCGTATGTATGCAGATGATAGTAGCCTAACCTTGGCAAATGCAAATGAGTCAGTTCTTGAACAACAAATGAATGATGACCTGAATGAAATTCAAATCTGGCTGAAAGCAAATAAGCTTAGTTTAAATGTAACAAAAACGAAATGTATGATAATGACTAGCCAAAAGAAAGCCAAAAACCTTAGTTATCCTTTTCTGATCAAAGTAAATAACAAACCCTCTCAAAAGAGAGGTGTGCTACAAATACTTAGGTCTAGAAATTGACCAGTCATTAACTTGGAAAGATCAAATGGAACAAATTTCTAAGAAGGTGTCTGGAGGGATAGGTGAGCTAAGAAGAGCTAGACATCTTGTCCCTAATGAAACACTTATTACAATGTATAAATCACTCATACTGCCATACTTTGATTACGGCAGTGCAGCATGGGGTAACTTTGGAAAAGGTTTGTCTGACTCTCTGCAAATCCTCCAGAACAGAGCAGCAAGAGTTGTCACCTTTTCAAATTACGACAAAAGATCTAGCGAGCTATTAAATGAGCTTAAGTGGGATAGGCTAGATGTGCGAAGGCAGAAACAATCTGCTATATAAATGTTCAAATTAAACACTGAATAATAGCTCTCCACATTACTTAACAAATATGTTTAAGAATATAAGAAACATTCATTCCCATAATCTAAGAGGATCTTCCCACGGCTTATTTGTACCCAGACAAAATAGTGAATCTGGGAATTAACGCAGTTTTAACTACAGAGGGGCTGTTCTTTGGAATAGCCTCCCTGATAATATAATCAAACAGCCTTTGGCGAACTCGTGGATACTAGTTGTACTTTTTGGAGATTGGGCTCCCTGTGTCATTGTTATGCCTGTTGACATTCGAAGGATTCAAAGTATTTCGCTTGATTTCATACTTTTTTAAAATACTCAACTTAGCTGGTAAAATCAGTAATAGTTCTTTTATTTTATTTTCCTTTTAACACCTAGTCTTTTGTTATTTTGTTGAATTTGGAAGCGAATTCTGTGATGAATTAATTGTCTGAACTTCAATTACGAAAGACGGCTTCGACTTCGATGGAGTCAACTGAGTCGAGTATAGAGTATAATTGGAAGAAGATCTATTTGCAAACGCTTTCTCTGTTTTCAATTTAAAAGGCGGGCTGTGTGTTTATTCCAGGAATCATTCTACCTACGAGCTCAAAACTGAATATACAAGATAATCGGCCGTTTATGATACAATCGGGGCGATCAACAAAAAGCGTTGCGTTATGCGTTAGGTTGATTTACATTACTACTTTATATCTTGACCTTCAAGGGTCACGGCTCCTACATTTTTAACATGAAACTATATTTTGATAGAAATTCGTTTAGAAATGCTATTTATTTTGCCTTCATCCAAGTCTGTAAATTACTGATTATTTATTGGAGCGGACTGTTGTTATACCTTCGCACATTTCAACATTCAAGAACATTATTGCTTCGGCTGTTTGTAATGTGCAGCGATCAAACTACTTTTTATTCAGAAAGGCTTAATATTTGAATGACAAAACTGGCCGAACTTCCTTCAAAAATCCAATGGAATCGTTCTTTTTTTCGTCTTTTTCTATTTTTTCTACGATCTACATCTACATTGATTATTTTCTTAAGACGTCACTCAGTAAATACAACTGTCCATATCAGTAATAAAACTTCGCTCGATCGAGCTTATAAGATTTTTTTGCGAAATACCGTCGTGACTTTGAGCTGTCTCTATGGAGAATAAAGTCCTCTAGAGCTTGAAATCAGACTTTYTCCTYGRGTTCTAATTAAAATAGCTTTTTTCGATATATAGCCGGCTCGATCTACAAGTCTTCAGAAAAATCGAAATGTCGACGTTGTACATAAGCGTTTTTGTTTACTTTTAAATGCATCAGGAAAAAAGGTTTGACTTATTGAAACTTTATTTCAGGCGTTATTTGTATAATTTTACTTCAACTTGCATCTTTCCTTGATTCTTTTGATATGAATAATCCGAAGATAAAACTATGTGCGAGACTGCGCATGCACGGTGGGACCCCATGGCGTTCACAAGTGCTAGAAACTATCCCACATGGATCATCAGCATTCCATTTCCTCATATAAAATATCAAAGTAATCTATAGTGTAATAACAGCTTTGTGCCTGTTAGTGTCGTGTAACGTTCGTAATCAGATGACGTAAGACGATTGGTAATCGTTTAAATATCGATCTGCTAACATCTTAGTGAGTGAATGAGTGAGTGAGTGAGCGAGTGAGTGACACATTTGCATATTCAGACCCCTCACAATAACTCGTTTCTATGCTTCGCGTATCCACGAGTTAAAAAGTGTGTCAACATTAAATAACTTCCGTAAGTCATTGGGTGATTTTTTCAATAATTAGAATTCGTAATAGCGGAGCTCCCGCGCGGAGCACCATACTTAAGAAAAAATGGTAAACCATCGAGTTGATTTTTCATGGCTTGGCTGACGTCACTTCCGTCCGTCCGTCCGTCCGTGTACACGACACAGGAATCCCGCTTGATGTCAAAGCAAAACTACTCACAAATGCGGCTCTCAAATGCACAGAAAAAATCGCTTTAGGACAAGTTATAGACCAAAAATAATTAAATAAGTACTTTCATGTAGTCAAAGATAGATCAAGAAGTGTTTTTCAAGAATTCAGGTGTGTGTTTTTTAGCAAATAATCGTATATATAGATTTTTTTCACAAGCATTTTTCTCGACGAATCGACAAATCAAAGACTTTCTCTCAAAGCTTTTTATATTTCTATCGATAAGCTTAATTTATTT